TCCCGGGATGCCCAAATCCCCCCGCTGCACCGGGGCTGCAGCTGGGGCTGCCCGTAGCTGCACGTCCAGCCCCAGCAGCCCCTCCTCGGGCGAAGGTACAAGGCATTGCACTGGGGGACCTCTCTGGAAGGGGTGACACCTGCCATGGCTGCTCCACACGCGCTTCCCAGGGGCTGCACCTGAGTTTGGCTCTGGCCAGCGCCGGAAGAAGGTGCTGTGTGCGCCACGAACACTGTCCCAGCCGGTCACCTGAGGTCGCAGCAGCCCCAGCCTCTCCGGTCCATTTTTCAATGATTTGAGCAATGGGATTTTCCTTCTGGAGGAGGCTCCTGTGCTGCCTGGCCATGCTCATGGTCCAAAGCTCCGCTATGGATCTGCTGAGCCAGGGGAACCAGCCCCTTGGCCCCTTCCTAGCCTTCTGGGAACTGTGTGGGCCAGAAAGGCCGTGGATTCAGGCAGTCACTTGGATTCACCCCTGCCAGGGATGTGTCTCTGACACGTCCTTAACACACACCTGCCTCCCGCTTCTCTCGCGCTGCCCGTCATTCGCATCACTGGCCCGTTCCCAAAACGCAGGTAGCTCTCCTGTCCCCTGCTCCTCCCCTCCAATAAGCGGTCCCCAGGCACAGGATGCGGTGCCTTCCCCTCGGCTTGCTCCCACCGCGGGGGGCTGCCTAAAAAGACACGCACCCAAGGATGTCAGCGGGCCGGGCGCCCAGCAGAAGTTTGGCAACGCGCTAAGCACCTGATGCCAGAGCCTGGGAACAGGAGCTCTTGGGCACCTCCTGCCCTGGGAGATGGTGTCACTGGGGGGAGCGGCGCCAGGTCCCCACACTGTCCTTCACCCACAGCACCTGGGCAGCTTCATCCTCCTCCCTGTCTTGCAGCCCTCTGGTTAGGGCAGACCCAGTGCACTGTTTTGGCGTGAAGGCGACTCCCCATCTGGAGGGAATCCACAAGCACCAGTGGAGCTGAGGTATTTACCAAGCAGGGGGCCAAGCAGAGGAGTTTTAGTGACAGGCCGGGAGGTGCTCTGGGGCTTCATCTTTGTGAGCAGGAGGTGAGCAACGTGCTCCGGCGCTTGCTCCCTCTGCTCCGCTCACCTGCAAGGTCCACGGGTGCCCTTCAGGCTCCTGGCTGGGGCCGGAGACGGTTTAAGCATGAAGGATGCCCGCGATGTCCGCTGGTGCAAAAGCGCCAGCAAGGCGGGAAACACTTTAAGAGCACCTGGGGGTATCACAAGACCCTTTGGATAAGAAAATGCTGGCACTTGTACAAACTGGGTGCAGCCTCTGTGCTGCATCCCGCGCCCCGACAGCACCGCACAGGGCGAGGCGCTCCGGGCTGCACCGCGCGCGCAGCGAAGCGCCCGCGCGACACCGCGAGGCCGTGGCCTTCCCGCGAGCGGCACCGTGGGGAGCCGGCTGCGCGCGGTGGCTGCACCGAGGCC